ATGGGAGAGATGAGAGATTTTGAGAAATTTCCGAAGAAAATATATGATACAGAGAATACCAACATTAATCAGTTGGATTTCCGATCAATCATATGATGTTTTTGGATGATAAATTTGATATTGCTGATAAGTTCAAAGATAAACTCTTATTCAAGCAAATGATGTATAGGTTCCATGTTGTACTTGGGAAAAGGGAAGAGGAAATATGGTCCTTAGTCAAGATAGTTCGGGTTCTCAATATATCGAAAGACGTTCTATTTGAGGGTATGTTGCAAAATTTTCGATATCATGCAGTCCGAGCCAACAATGTTACTTTTAATTTCTAGGTTGTAGATTTTCCCTTGATGAACCTGCATGATTTATTGGTTGTGGCCAAGATCTTGATGTCTGTTGATGTGTCGAAGCTGCAGGTTACCAATAAAGAAGATTTTTTTACTAGGGTTTGCACATATAAAGATTTTCATTGATGGCTATTATGGTGCTTTAGCTTTAACTGACATTGAGTTAGCTACAACGTTGGTAAATAAAATTTAAATTCCTAAATCATTAACAAAGAATCAAGTCAGTCTGAAAGATTATGAAGATGGGTAGATTTGTCTGAAACCTCTTGGAATTGTGTTTGTTGGTAAAAATAAGAAGGACAATAACACAAAGTTTTTATTCTAAGTGTGTGATGTTGAGAGATACACTTATGCTCATTATACAAGTCTCTTAATTTGAATGAATAGTTGTGCCAAGAATAATGACAAAGAAAAGGTAGAAATCTGTAAGGTTGTCAACTGGTACGCTGAAATTCAAAGAATTTTACATCAAGCTGCTCAGAGTTTAATGACCTGATTCGCCACTGCTCATAAAGGGGGAGAATGTAGATTTCGAATATATGTTGTGAGGTGGCTAAGGTCATAGATAGTTTAGACTGTTTATAATTTTATTATAAGGGAACATTATGTATCGAAGCTTTTAGTGTCTAGTCCCTTATATTTTTTTTGTGCACTTTCATGATCGCTATAAATATGGGATGTGTACTAGAGATAGATAAGATCATTCATCTTTTCTATCAAAATACTCTATGTAGCTTTGAAAGCATAATTGAGCCAAACAAATATTATTTAGATCTCGTGTTCGTCAATCTTACTTAACTCTTATCTTATAATTCATTCTCGATTTCATTACAACCACATATACAACTCTAAGATCTCATATGATTTTGACATTGGTGTGTATTTCAGACAACATTAAAAAGTTGTGATTACTTCTTCTGGAAGGACGATGAGATGCCTAAGGGGTACTACAAGAACCTTATAAGAACATTAAAGCAGCAGGTAGAATCAAAGGAGAACTTCGCTGAACTAGTCAACCTTAGGAAGAAGGTTGTGGATTTGGAGTTTCTACTTTCAAAAGAAAAGTTAGTTGTTGAAAATCTTGAGAAGAAGGTAACAAAGGAGAAGGAAGCTATGATGATGCTTAACAAAAAACCATATGCTTCCATGCAACAAAATTGCATGTGTGAAAGTTCTGGTTGTGATACTTTTATTGGTTGTTGCACTTTGGTGCTTTAAGTAGAAAGGAATATTGAATTAAGTAAGGGTAGGGTGTTTGGGTATATTTAGTTGTCTTTTGGTCATTGATGTGATTGGCTTTTAGTGTTACACCCCCAAACCGAGAATGGCGGCAACGTCTGGATGTGGATGACTTCTTGTACAATATCATAACAATTAAATAATAGAGATCAAAGCATTACAACCATCATATTGCTAAATTATAAGTTTTTACATTGTATTCGAATCGTTGTTTGTTTGCTTGCCATATACATGTGACAAAAATATGTGATGTGACGCTGCTACACCCCATCTTTCAAAATCTTTTGGGTACCTGTTTACTCATTTCCTGAGAAGACAAGTAGTTTTGAAAAGTGTCAACAATTAAGTTAGTGAGTTCATAAGTGTTTTGTATGAGAAAAATCTGCCATTTTTCTTTGTAAAATGATAGAGTGTACTTCCAGATAATCCAATATTTTCTTGTAATGAAATGTAGTTTTAGAATCCTTAAGACTGATATGTGTAAGTATTCCTATACTCAAAGTAGTAATTTGTAGTTTTAATCCATATAAAACCCTTTAAATGTATGTTCCCAGAAATGCCCATTTTATTGTACTTGAAAATAGTGTAATGTGGTTTTAATCCATATAAAAAATGAAACACCCATAAAAATCATGCTAATTTAAAACTTTTTAAAACATTTAGAAACCAACAATTATGACAAATTTGTTTTCAAAATAGTTCTACATCAGAGTATCCCATAAACAAAGCCATATGATGTAAGGAGTTGTACAGTCACGCATTTGCCTTCCCGCAATCATCTGATGTACCTGAAACCAAAACTGAAACTGTAAGCCCAAAGCTTAGTGATTTCCACCAAAATACCCATACACACAACAATACACATATAATCACAAACAACATACAATGGGTCCAATCAACCATCTAGTTGGAATACCCTAGGCCCTCAACCATCGGTTTGTAATGCCAACATACTATGGGTCCAATCAACCATCGGGTTGGAATACCCCAGGCCCTCAACCATTGGGTTGGAATGCCAACATATTATGGGTCCAATCAACCATCAGTTTGGAATACCCCAGACCCGCAACCATCGGGATGGAATGATAACATACTATGGGTCCAGTCATCCTCGGGATGGAATACCCTTGGCCCCAACCACTGGGTTGGAATGCCACATACTACAAGTCCAATCAACCTTAGGATGGAATACTCACTGTACACAACCATCGGGTTGGAATGCCCAGGTCTATTGGCTTTCGCACAAAGCAGATAAGGCTCAACCACCAATCAAACATGTGCACATATATAACATAATCACATAACAATCTATAGAAATACAAACCGACCTAACATATCATAACAACATAATAACATCCTATCTACCAGGATACCGATCTAACAGATCATAAAAGTGTGACATCATCCTATCTACCAAGATACATATCTAACAGATCATGCTAGCATATCATATCATAATAACAATCCAAAAGGGTCGGCCTTGCTGCCTTCGACCCTTGAGCATAGTGAGGAAAACTTGCCTCACAACTGTCGAACTGAACTGAAAGTCTTCGATCGTTGTCTCACTGAAAATCCCAAACTACCCAAAATAATCAATTACTAAGTCAACACATGGGATATAAATCTTGAATAAAGGTCCATATAGTCCATATTGCCTTTTCTCTAAATTGGGCCACGGCCCAATTATCAAATCTGTTGGCTAGAAGTCCATAAACTTAAGGCCCATTATTGGCCCAATTTTCCTAGTTGGGCCCAACTCCCAAATTGAGCCTTATTTTAAGATACAAATCTAAAACTAGCCCAAAACACAATTATTCAAAAAGTCCAGTAAAGTCTATGTCAAACTGGCCCAAAAGGATCCTAATCCCAAAGCCTAAATCGTCAAAAGCCCAACAGATGGCGTACGCGGGGCGTACTCCTCTAGTACGTTGGGTGAACTTCCGTTTTGCATTGGCCACCATCGAGGTGGTTGACTCAATACGCTGGCATACAGAAATTACGTGTGGTGTACGCAAGGTTTTGCCAAAACCCTAATAAGTGCTTAATTGCTTACGCACTTAAGTCCAAACTCTAGATCCATCGATAAAAAGTGCCTTAGAACCATAAAGTAATGAACTTTAAGACTTTGGACGTCCAAAAAAGTTCCTAATACATGGTCTTAACCCATTAAGACCTTTTTACTACATACATGAGACACTTTCCAACCTGAACATCACCCAGCGATACAATCGCCTCCTCATCCAATATGCGCCTTTGCAGCTACCAGACGTGAAAAGTGTCGCGAATCTGAATGAGATTCTTCGGAAGGTCCAACCTATATGCCAGCTTGCCAAACCTTACAATAATCCTGATGATCCAAAGTATCGGAAACCCAACTTTTCCTCTTCCTAAAGCGAACCCTTTTTGTGCTGATAGGATATTGCATCCTTCAGCTCCCGAAATAATATACGTAATCAATCCACTAATAAGCACGAACACTCATGCCTGGCCTAATCAACCTCGGGCTGGAATACCAGGCATGCCTACAACGGGTCCAGTCATCGCTAGGATGGAATACCCTCGTATCATGCACATGTTTCGCCCAATTAACCCTCGGGTTGGAATACCAATCACGTCAGGTCCAATCAATCATAGGGTTCGGTCATCCTCATGATTGAATACCTAGATTGGAATACCTCTATATAGATAACTCGGGTCTATACATAACTTGAGATCCAAGGATCTATCCTTGTGTCTCATCCAAAATCCTCTAATTCATCTCAACCGAGTACAACTCACCTGAACCTCAATAATACATCCATTCCGAACGCGCTCCCAATAGGAGACATAACCATAACAATCTCTATGCCCACAACATAAGTCTGGTATGCCCTCTCCGACCCTCGGCTTATGACTGGAATGTTCCTGATAACCTATCGACACTGCTGTCGTCACTTCAGTTGCCTAATACTTCGGCCTGGAGATACTCACCTCCTAAATGCCTAAGAAGCCTAATCACTGTCCTTCACAACATCAAACAAGCGCCACGGTACTGAAACCTCACCATACACTATTCACTTAAAAAACAAGTTGCTACCTCAGAGTTTCCAGGCTCTCCTTCATAACCACCGACAGTTCCTAAGGGCATTCTATAGGTGATAACCAACAAGCACATAACATACGGTTCCATGGGTTATTAACACTAAACATCATACTCACTACTAGAAAAAGTAAACTATTCATTGCTACCGCCTAGCATACACTCAACACCTGATCAAATAACTAACAAAACCCATACAAAGTCTTCAACATGTATAGACCGCATCAACCCAACCACTTTAGAAACTATTATCTGAACCGCAACAGACAACATATTCAAAGCCTGACGTCCCATCCGGGAATTCCTAATTCTCCCCCACTTAGAGCACTAACCACTAGCTACTGGTGGCAAAGCTGATACGCCACTTAACCGTCCCAAACGAGTATTACCATACTTAACCTTGGAGGGGTTTACCCACACAAGACAATCCTCCCAATACGAAGTAAGCAAACTTCAAGAGAACCTGAATTCTCGCTGATGACCTCTGAATTTTTGAATTACAACTGCTCGATCTAGACTGGCGATTCTCTATCCTAACTCCTTATCCTTGAATGCATGTTCGAATCCTAACCATCTACAATCCCTTGGAAATAAATTCCACCTAACATCTCCTATGTCCTAATAACTCATGAAAAAAAGAAAAAAAAAGCTCATAATACAATCATAAACAAATAGATACGAGAAAAGACTTACTGGTCGCCGCATTAGGTATTGTCCTGGCCTCCTCAACAGTAAGATGGAAGGCATGTCCCCGATCCCTCAGGGGCTCTACTCTATCCTGACCCCCATTAGTAATCCTCAAGGTAGCCGACACTAGAGCCAGTGTCGGCCTGGCTGCTAGCAGGGGGAGCTGGGCCTTCATATGGCCCACCTGCTCGTAATGGTAACAAACTTTGACACCAGAACATGGAGTTTGCTGCCTACACTCCCTTGCGATGTGACCCTCCTTGCCACACTTGTGGCATCCTAAAGAAGATCGACAAACCATTCATGTACCTTGCCACACTTCCCATAAGTGAAACCCCTCTGACTCTGCTATCTGTAATCATCAGCCCTAAACTGTTCGGCGCAGGTTGTGACTACGTCGGGGCCTGTCTCTACTCTCTCAGTTGCAGCTCAATCTCCAACTCACACCGCCTAGCAGCCTCCTGTAACTCTAGCAAGGTATCACATCTCTGCGTGGACACCAACTGTCTGATGTTCATCTTGAGCATGCTCGGATATCCATTCATCTGATCTTTTTCTGAAGCAAACTCAGGGAAAAACATCACCCTCTTAGTGAAAATGCGGGTGATCTCTGTCACCGACTTTGAATCCAATCGCAGATCCAAGAACTATTACGCCAGTACCTTCTGATCAACTCATGGGATGTAACGGGTACGGAACATATCCCAAAATCGATCCCAAGTAACCGTAGCGTTTTGCTCATCCCAATATGATCTAGTAATCAACCTCCACCAATCCTTTGCTCCAGAACTCAGCAGGTTCAGAGCACACCTGACCTTCTGGTCATCAGGGCATGAACATGTGAAGAAACATCCCTCCACGTCGGATAGCCACCTCATGGATACGATTGGATTGTGAGTCCCGTAAAAAGTATGGTGATTTGTATTATCAAAATCTCAGTACTGAAAATCCCAATTGGTTCCTCCCCCTGCCACCATTACAGCTGTTGCGGCAGCCGTCTCAGCAAGGGTTGCATGGCGCTCGTCGAAATACTTAACCATGGCAGTCTTAATAAACCCAAAAATCTCCAACAGCTCTGCCCGAAAAAGAGTAGCAACCCCATCATTAAGAATCTCCTGGATCCTGGCGTCCAGCTCGTCCGACCACATTTGACCAACAACCTCGAGCACTATCGGTCCCTCCTAAACGCCATCTCCTGATCTTGAACCGGATC